CTTATTGATCGATGCGAATGTCAAATATTTGTATCTCTCCACTATTCATTCCGAACATTAAAATCTAGATACATGACCGTTAAAGAATCGATCCTTGAATTTCGATCAGCAGCGCCAGCTTCTGTATTACGTTTTCTACTTTCAACCTCCGGTCGTGACAACTATTTGTCTTCATTTATGCTATGTTGCTTATTGATCGTGGCAGAATAAGGTCTCCTTAGTATAAATTCCACCAACTCAATGGTACAATAGGCGCTCTAAATGGAACATTGATTAATACCATTAGGTATTGTAGATCTAGGAAAACCTCTGTGAAAACACAAAGAGAAAGGGAAAAGTGACAAATTTATTTTACGTGCGGTATTACCTTTTGCAATACAAAGATTTTAAAAAATTTGCCATAAAATCTAGATAAGCTTAATGGATTTCCTTAATTTTATTATCCAGATATTCAATTAGTATTCAATTATTCAACTTGACAAAAAATAATTTACTTATTTCCACAAACTTATTTATCACGAAAAGATGGTATATAAATAATCGTAAATTTCATGCTAAATTTAGAAAGATAACATTTGTAACACCATCATTCTTTTTATTTTTTAATTTATAAAATTGGTCAATACGGTTTTTGAATGACTCATATGTAAAATATTAGATAATTACAATAATCTCAACTCCTTATACCGAGCTCAACATCCTCCTATTTCGCAATTCGAAGATTTCAACAGATGTCACGATAAAATCTAGATAAAATTAACGCATGCTTTACTTACTATAAATTTTGATGGTAACTCGAAATTAAATAACATACGTAAAAATACGGTGAAGCACAAGATGATTATAATAATCTTCGTTTCCTGCATCAACCTGAACATTCTTCGATTTAATTTACACACCGGAGACCGTGATTTCTTCATCATCAACGGTTGTACGGTTAACCAAAGTATTTCTATCACAATGAAACGACTGGAGAATCGTTGAAGCTCGTTTTGAGAAATTACAGGCCGCGATAATTTTAGAGGAATAACCGATAAAAGTTAATGCAACGCCGTGTCTTCCTCGCTTCGATCCTTTGAATGCGGCTGCGTAACCTGTTCTGGAATCATTAGATTCAATCTGGACACACCACGATCCCAGCGTGGAAACGGAAGATATCGATTCCCGATGGAAACTTAAGCACATTCTATCTACCATAGTTTCACATTCAACGCATTCCCCGATATTCGATAATTATAACGCAGAATCAATTACAGCGAAATGGTTTTCTATGTCAATAATTCATAGAATGTCTGTTCTTTCGTAAATAATCTAAATAAAAAGTTCATCGAGGTTAATAAGCGACTCATTACCATTTTATGTTTTTCTTTCTTTCGTTACAGTAAATTATATAGTAGTATATCATTGTTTTGGTTCTGAATAAAATCAGACTCTCCTTCGGCCTTGGTATTTTCCAACTTGAAACAGAATTTTAAAAATAGAATTGATTGTTTCGTAGAAATATTCTAAAATTATTTAATAACAAAAATAAAACAAACAAAAATAATAAAACAAGAAATTAATGTGATTAAAGATTTTTTTTAATATTAATAGAGACTAATATTTAGTTGAAATCTGGATAAACATTTATTTAATAATTCGCTGTAGTTTGCAAAAATTCTGACTAATTATTTCTATTTGAATTTTGTTTCTGAAACTAAATATTAACCAACGATTTCAGCACTTTCTGACAGTAAAGATTTTTTAAACAAAAGAGGAAGATTATATATATCTACGGATCTACTTATATAGCATCCTTTTTCCCTCTTCTATTTTTATCGATAAAAAGAAAACCAACTGACAATTTGCGCGTTATTAATCTCATCAACGCTGACAAGGGTTACAAGGGGTTATGAAACTAAATGTCTACATATATTCTACTCATTCTGTATAATACCATTTTTCTATCTAGAATTAGGTTTTCCAGCAATCAATAAAAATAATCATTCCTTGTCTCCTAGAAAATTATTATCTCAGTAACGATCAATTTTCTACTCCATCTACTTATCAATTTCCTCTTTGGATACATTCAAACAGTTTTACCACAACATCCAGAAGAGGATTTTAAATTCTGTATCTCTAATTGCAACCTATTTCCATATTAATCTGTGGCATTCGAGTTTTCTAATCTCTAATCGTAACCCATTCTTGTCTACATATCTGGTTCCGCTGCTGCAAGCATCGTGAACTCGCATTCTAATGACAAACAAGATTTTTTCTTTGTATAAACATCATCAAACGATGGTGTCCATTTTTTATGATTGTCCTAATTTATTGCTGGATTTGATGTTATCGGAGCGTGGCTTATGGCTTATGACTTATGAAACAAGTCACGGTAACCAGCATGACGTTAATAGACTTAACCCGTCGCATACGAAAGAAAATCAATTCAATTCAACTATGCTCGATCGTATTCCGTTAATCCGTTTTCTAGTCAATCTAATATACGATTTCCTCATTGTGAACTCCGTCTCTACGTATTTACGCTACCGCCCATAAGCACAGTGACTTACGAAAGTATTTGGATATTTATCGTAGGGAACTTTTGTACGAGTTATGTAAAACATTTTAAAATTTCATTAGCACTTTAATGAGTCACGATTATCGTGATTACGTTAACTTACACCTAATTTGAGAATTTATATAAGAGTTACAAGACTGTTTAACGTCGAAGTCTTAAAATTGAATCGTGTTTCTAGCCACATTCTAAAAGTTTATATTTTTATGAAGTATCAATTATCTTATTATTACTTTATTTCTATTATATTTCTTGTCGTTTTATTTGATCCCAATTGTAACAGTGAAGAAACATTCTCCGATCATAACTTTGAAAATATAACGAAAGTATTTATCTTTTGATCGAATTGCAGGAAACTTTCAAATACTTATAGACCATGGTGTGTGTAGATACGTTTGTATCACTTTATCAGTAGCGTTCTATGTTTCCGTGGTCATCGAGTTTTGCGAGAATCCGCAATCTCGCCCGTACATTGTATCTCGAAAAGCGACACAGCCGTATGTATATATATATATATTTATATATAGTTGGCAGTTTATTGCGCTGGTAACAGATGAGAGTACGGATATCTTGGCCTCTCTCCCGGACGTCGCGAATTTGCAAATTATAAAGGGCAATAAAGCACGGCGAGGAGATACGCCGTGGTCTGATTGTATTCAAAATCGTATTGTGCTCTGCGAAGATTAATGTTATCAATAGTTTATGGATATCTGTTACGCATGTACGTATAGTACATACATGTACGAGCAGGGTGTAGTTTCTTTGCTATGTTGGCTTGGAGAAGGTAGTAGATACATCTTCTTACTGTGGATGATATATGTTTGCGTATTAAATAGGAGTATTTATCTGTCCACAGATAGAAAGGCGGAACATACTTCAACCCTGACCTTTGCACGGCCAATAAAATTGCTAAAATAGTGGAAAATATGATTATTTATTTCTTTACTAATTAATTTTTCATTGATTAGTTATTTATCAGCGATCTAACTCATACTGTAACAATCGAGCTACTATCAATTAAAAATATAAAAAGAAAGTTCTTTAATTTAAAGATACCTCGCAATATTAGAATATTTTATAAACTCAACATTTATTTGATCTTTCATCAGCTCGCAATTTTATATTAATTTACTTTTACCGAAGCGTTTCATTTTTCAATAACGTCATTCAACTAATCGTACATGTGAAATTTTTGTTGCGAAAATATTCATAAAGTACGCAGGTACGCGTACTTTGGTAAGAACATCGTGATCCCGTGAATACGGCAACCGTATGGCCACGTGATTAATCATCAACGATACCGCAAAAGTCATACGCGAACTGGAACTTCGTAACTTCGTTTTATGGACAGGACGGTGGTTGATTGCGCGGTGCTAATTTCGGCAAACCGCGAAGAACTAAGTGCGAGGATAAATCAGGTATGTATGCACACGTTATCGTATGCCAACGTGATCGTCCAAGTATGTAACTTTTATGTAACTTTGCGGTACATGAGCAGTAACACCTTGAACACAGCCTCGGGCGTTCGATCATTTTACTCTGAAAGAACCGCGTGTTTATGCGCCTCTTTGCATTGCCCTCCTTAGCTTAAAATGTTCTATCATCTCAAAACTGGGACAACCCGAATTTTTATCATTTTCTCTATGATATGTTTGTTTTCCTCCGATCAGTGTGAAATATTGGATTGTTTGGGAAAGTTTGTAATGACAATTGAAGATTAGAGGGAAAAAATAGTAGAAAAATAATGGAGATTTATTTAATATATAATAAAGGCATATTTTTTAATAATTTTATTTAGTAATTTTTATCTGTGCAATGAATCACTGATAATATAATTAATGATATAAAAGAATATCAATTATTCGTTTCTGCACTTTGAAATTCGTAAACACTTTTATTTTCATTCCGTAAATGTATGTATATTAATAATAATATATTAACATACTTATATATATTTATATATTAATTATATTTATATATTAATTTATAATTATTAGATATATAAGTATTTTATTCTATATTTTCGATTTCTTTTTTCACGTAGAATCACCCCTTTCCGCTTGTACCACCAGTTACCAACCATATTATATATATTATATATACTAATGTAAGTTAATATTAAGTTGACATTAATCGTAAATTAGTTGGTGGAACTCGAACATTCATCATCGTGGTACAATGTCGAAACTTGATCTCTAATCCTTTTAGAGTTCACACTTGTCTAATATATCGAGTATCGAGAACGATATCGTTTACGCTGCCCTACATATCAAATCGGATAAGAATTGTTTCTAATCTGCCTAGTCCTTTTACAAAGTGAACGCGATTATGTAAGGTAAGAGACCATTGATTCTGAAAATTCATGGTACACCAGACACGTCTCGTAAAAATATACAGAATAACAGAAACTTTTAGTTATCAAAATACATAAATCCAAATCCCAGAATTCTATTATTATCAATTATGGACCCAAAATTTATTTCCTACGACTCTTTCGTGTCGAAAGGAAGTAAGTAGATAATGTTGGAAAAAATATGTTTCGTCCGAAATAGACTTTCATTTATATAATTTATTCTCCACGCTTAGAGGAAAATTTTGGAGATAAAGGTACAATAACATTTTTCGAATGACCACCCGCGACGATAATACGGATTTTCACTGAAATCTGAATTTAGACAGGGATGTTGGTATTTTGATATTTGTTTGAATTAACGCGTGTCAAAGAATTTTTCGAACCATGTTCTTCTCCACTGGGAATACTTTTGATTATTAATATTGAAGAACTTGTGAGAAATTTATAGATTCAAACATTTATAAGCTGATTAACCATAAGTCGATTAACATAATAGCGAATCGAAGTATATGTGTACAAAGTAGCGACAAATTCATAAAACTATTGATTATGTATGTGCAACAAATAATATTCTTTTAATATGTAATAGTGTCTATTGATTTTGGCTTATTATTCTTGTTATGACTATTTTATCGATAAAGTATCACACTGATGATCAATTTTATCTACCATCAGAAATGTAGGAATCTTAGTATAATCGATCGGAACAGTCAATGTCTGTCGAAAGCACAGCACACTTATCTCAGTTGAAAGGAAATACCGAAAATCGGTGAAGAAGGAATCCTGCTACAGACACGATAGATTAAATTAGACTTTAGGAGACACCTTTCTTTCAGTTTAAAAAGTTGGATTAATATTAGTAGCCATACACTATTTATATTATACTGCATATTTTATTCGAAACTTTCTTTAATATAAAAAGTAACTAATTTTATTGCAAAGAAGATATTGTGTGTTACAAGAAAACGGACTAATCGTATAATAGCATTGGAAGAGTTCACGTCTTGTGTACGTTAGTGGTTCAAGACAAACTTCATAATGAAGAAAACGTGATTCCAAAGAAACGGATATACGATCAAATATTTCTACATTAGCGAATAAATAGTATAGTTAGATGTATTTCGTTTGTCGTTATAAATGAAAATTGTGGCACTAAACTTATAAGAAAATTCTGAACGATCATTTCCATGGGCAATTGTATGAAATCTACTGATCCTTTGACTGCTTCTCTTCCGAAAAGTATCAGTATCGACACCACAGCGATTAAAGAATCAGGAGTGCCGATTATCTTCGTAATTGGAAGACCGGGAGCTGGAAAAAGTTACAGAATTTATTTATACTTAGTGTCGTGCAATTATCGTATAACCTAATAACGCCATTGACTTTAACTTTTACCTCTACATCTTGTCTTACGGGATCAATTTTTCGAAGGCAGAAATTAAAATGTTCGAAACTGAAAAAACTTAAAAATTGAAGACATTTAAAGCATTGAAATATTAAGAAATTTTTTTAATAAAAGATAGAAGAATTCGCTGAACTTAAAGGATTGATAACGAGAGTAATAGAAGCACTATTTTAATATTAATTTAAATGTCTAGCGGAACGCTTAATAACAATTTTATTATTATTCCTATAAAACTGAAAACTTATTTACTACGATTTTCATTCTTTTACTACTTTTTTCGTTCTAAAATATCCCCTCGTAGAAATTCCTATACCTCGTTATGAACAATCTTGCCATGAAAATTTTCTTTTAAACATATTGCAAGCGTGATAGAAATTATAATCAACTCTCGATAATTCGTGATTGATCATTCCAGGAACCCTATACATGAAAGTGGCAGAGAAGTACGGTTTCGATGACATAATATCCTCAGATGTGATTCGAACTGAAGTGTCGAAGCGAACGGGAAAGGCGTTCGCGCTGGCGCGTTTATTGTCGGAAGGTCAATTGGTGCCATCGGCTATATTAGTGGAATTGATCGCTGCTAAGATGCTCCAACACGTGCAAGACAAGGAAGGGTTCATTCTGAGCGGATTTCCCTGGGAGAAATGTGAGGCAAAATTATTCGACAAAGAAGTGCGTCGCCCCAATCTCGTTCTAATGCTGAACGTTCGAAATTCCGTGATGAGCGATCGGTTAATGGCGAAAAGCGTGAAAGCCACTGAGAGATTGTCCATTAATTTCGAGTATATTAAAAAGCAAATCGAGGACTTTCATAAACGAAACAAATTGATAGTGAAATACTATAGAAATTTGGTGGTGGTGATCGACGCTGAACCTGACACGATGACCGTGTTTGAGAAAGCATCCGAATCTATAGATAACATTTTAGTGGAACTTTCAGGCTTTGAAGCGAATCGTCCAGCCACGTCGAATGCTGCTAGAAGTAGAGTAACCTCGAAATAATAAAGTTCGTATTATAACTATTTATATCATACATAAAATTTATATTATACATAAAATGAGACTAATATGCCATTTAAGAGAAACTTTTATGGAACAATATTAGACCGAATATTTTTAATTTGGTCAGATGTAATATAGGTGTTAAGTGCTAGTAGTGGACGTGCTATAATTAGAAGATCCTTTTATCAGTTTAGCGAGCAGAATATTTAGACAGGAAACGTGATTCCTTTTGTACATCGTGAACATTCATCTCTGCGTATACTTGAACGTTATTGCATAAATAACGCTATGACTAATGTAGCCTACGGTGAAATGCAATTTTTGAATAAAGCTTCATGTTGACTTTATTCTGCTTAAATAGACGATAAGTAATATAACAGAATCCTTCGAACGATATATCGTCTGGTAAAATAATGATTACGAATTAAATGTTTCTGTATTTTACTCTTTCATTCGAGAATTATAACGAGAAGTATTATTAAAATTCATTTCTCTGTAGGTTGGAACATTTTTTATTTCAAATTGCTAAATGTATTTCACACAGTTTTAACTTCTATTCCACAGATAAATGGGTATGATTGGCAAAATAACTAACTATTTGAAATAATAATTGGCAAACTAACCGTCGGCTGAATATTTCCCCAGTGTACACACGAAAAATGTTCGTGATGGGCATGCACTCTCACTCGCCATGCGCGTTTGTATTTATTTATCCCCTGTATGTGATTCCACTCATTTTAATCAGTAGATGGATGGTTGCCTCTATTTATGAGCCTACATGCACACGTGAAACGTCTTTCTGTTCGAAGACCCAACTCACTCTCGTATCAATTGTTAGTGTGTGCGTGCACATGATTCGCTTGTCGCGCATATTCATAAACATGCATGCACTTTACGTTGCTCTATCTGCACGTAAATTCTCCTTCGTATCTCGGCAGATGACTGGTAAAACGAGTTTCTGCGTGCTCATGTCATGATTGGACAGACACTTTTCGAAGTCCAGCAAATTAAATTTTTATGTGGCAAAGGGAATAGAAAAAGTTAAATGCAATTAAGTTTGCAACAATAATTGTTTGCTACAGTTTCTTTAAATACTTATATTAAATACTTTAAATATGGAATTTATTTGAAACGAATTGTTATTAAATATTATCAGATATAAGTAAACAAGCACGGACCCTATTTTTTATTAATAATTGTAGCGCAAGTATATTTAACCATTTGTAGTTAAATTACATGCGAAACTACCTCATGAATTGAAAGAAATGTTCATTTGTATTGACAAAAATTTCAAGCATTTTATTTAATGAATGACTATACAATGTAATAAAAACATTAAGTAAGTATCTTAAGAAATTTTTTAAAAAAATTCATCCTCAGTTTGCCTACTAACTACAACCATACATTATCCCTGAATTATTTAGTTGTGTATTTAATTATTGTAGAAATTAAGACTTCTAGAAAAAATAAAGAATTGAAATGCACATATATTTCAAAACAATATAAGCCAGCCACCAATCTTTCTATTTCAATTTTTTAAAATCCTTCCATCCATTCCAATTATCAAAAATATCAGCCCCTTACCCTGGTAGATACAATTTCTTCTAATGATTCTCACCTTCGATTCACGATACTCCTTACCGCGAATCGTCACACGACGCGTCTTTTTTAATCACCCGCTTTGTATCCGTCCCTGAAAGCTTGGTAAAGCGTACGTTCACACATCCGCTCGCGTACCGTCGTGTATATGACCGGCTATCGAAGCGCTCGAATGTGTTAGAGTGGGTGGCCGGGTGGTTGGCTGCGTTTATGAGGGTGCGGGCCCGAAATTGAAAAGCACCCCAGCGAGAGGTAGGTGAGGGTGGTCGTGCAGCAGTCATTGACAAGCGAAAGACCGTATCAGAGGGTAATCCTATTGGTGGACGGCCGCGTCGCGACGTCCAGGCGTCATTGGTCCGCCTTCGAGCTATGGGGCGTGGTCTCGAGTTCCTCGAGGGTTCACGTGGAGGGGTGAGAAATGCCTGGCTGCATCCCTGGCAACGATTACCGGAAAACCACAGGGTCGTTCAGCGGTAGGAATCCAGCATGGCGGACCTAGCAACCCCTCCGGCTGAATTCACCACCACTACCACCAGTACCACCATCAACACAACCACTACCAGGTAGGTGACTTCGTTGCTATTATCGAGGCCACTGCGACTGTTCACCACTAAACCGGCCGGGTAGTGGATTTCGCTCGATTTGTCCGGGGGAACACTTCAGGAATCGGAAGTTCGATCGGACGATTAATTGCTCCGTTAACTAGTCTTTTCAGACCACGACTCTTTGACGACGTCGCGGGAATACAAGACGTCGTCCCGCGATTTCGAGTATTACATTGGCACGGGAAATTTAGCGTTTCCTACTGATTACTGAAATTTCTTCGTCTCTTATCGTATTTGTAATTGTCGCTCTACTGCGTATATAGATAGCGTGAAATAAATGTAGCTTCGATGAAAGAGTAGTAGACAGTTATATTAACTAAATAACTCTACAATCGATCTGTTTTTGACACTTCCAAATATACTCTGAAAATAATACAAAATTATAATCTGACACTATTGTAACATTTTTATTAATAATTTACGATGTGCTCTTAACGGAACGTGTCATTACTGGTGCAATAATCATCGTCATTCATAATTACGGAAAATTCAAACTGTCGTCGACCTTTATTTCATCAAGCAATCCTTCCTTATAAGAAGCCTCTTCTATCCTTGTTTTCACTAGCCGAAACCAAACCGTTCAGAGAGCAGTTTTTTAACGAGCAGCGTCGCAGCAGTGGATGGATCTGATTTCAGCGAGGAACACCGCGACGCTAGGTATCGTTCTATCCAACCCGATAAAGGAGAAGCACAGGTTGAAGCTACAAGAAAGAAAGCGAACAGAGGGTAGAAAGAGATGGAGAACGAGGTTTCACTACCACGTAGCCAACGATCAACAATTGCACGACGTTCAGTGGGCGAAGGTAGGCGTCGTCTCGTGACGGTGGAAGGGAGGGTGGGGGTTTTAGAGCTTTGGCCAGGCGTCAACCGATGCGAAGGGGTGCGCGCAGGCGCCGCGACGAGCGTCGTCGGCGAAGCGCCGCGTCAAACGTGCCGGCTATAGGTTAAATCCTCCCGCTCCTCGTTTTTGTTGTTTTTCCGGCGTTGCCTCCTGATCCCGCCTTCAAAAGTGCCAACGGACCAATCGGTGGCCCGTGCTCGCGGGACGCCCGATGTCGAGACACCTCTGCAAGCCACCAACGACGTCGACCTCCGGTGATACGGGACGATCGAACCTAGCTAACGTCGATCTCTCGCCGAGAGACACCGACTTCGAGACGTCATACGTCGTCGTTGCTCGAGCTGACGCGGTTCCATCGATTTCTAAGATTCTGTCAACTGACGAGCCGATCTGGATCTCCGAGACACGGAGGTTTTAGTTTCGAGGTAGTTTTCGTGGACCGTCGGGGTGAATCAGTGTTTCGTCAGAAGTTCCATGAGACTAAGTTTCGATGGGTGCTTTGTTTGTCAAAGTTTGTAATATTTTGAGTATGATACGAATTTGGACAGTTGAACTGTTGATGTGCGCGAGTGTTGAAGAGTGAACTTGATTATATAGTCTTGTAACTAGGTGAGGAAGATTTCATGATGTTTCATGGTTGATGGAGTTCTGATTGTTGAAGTTAAATATGGAATATGTGGAATAAGTTGTTTTCATTGCTAGTTTCGGATGTTAAGTCGTTTTGTGTTGGATATCGTTGGATAATAACGATTAGTAACTATTTAGTAATAATCGTTGGATAATAACGATTAATAACAACGATTCAGCTTGATATTTAATGAAATATAATAACGGTAGGTACTGTAATATGTTGCAGTATATTGCCTTTTATATAACGAGGAATGTTCGTTGATACACCATGAACGGAGCAACGTCGGTTACTACTTCGGAAGAACATCAGCATCAACATCAGCAACCGCAGAATGAACCACCACCGGAGCATCCGAGGAGCCCTACCAGCCCTTTGAGCATTCGACATGGTGAGTTGATATCAATTAATTATTTTGAAAGAAATGCACAATAAATGTTAAAATCGTACTATTTTCGATGATAGTTCGTTACAAAATGATTACATATAATTGAAAGACAAATCGCGAGACAGACGCGAATAAAGAAAGCTCAGCATGCATACAAGAAAAACATAACTGCACAAACATTCTTCATTCTATTGGTGATATCGGTGTAAAAACAAAATTCATATATATCTTTTTATTTTTAAGTATATTCTTTAATCTTTTCTTCAATTCTTACAATGAAAGATTATACTAACTTTCTTCAATTTAATCAAACATCATTATTGCAATCGGCCCACGAAAGAAATCATATTTTCTAATTTCTTAAACTAAAGTAACAACAAAATTCGTAACTGTTATTTCAGATGTGAAAATGTCGAACACAAATTCACTTCCGCGAACGAAAGAAAACATTGTAACATTTGTTTCAGGGATAGCAAATATTGCTTCTCAAAATTATTCGATACTAATAATTATCTATGTTTGTCGCTTCTAAATCATCGTTTAACGAATACTAGATCCCTCGTACGTTTATAAATGAACGACTACATTAATGCATATGCAAGAGACAGGCTACGTATATAAATCAACGCCCGACGTAGTTTTATGCGAATCGTAGTTCTAGGGTGGCAAGTGGAAAAAGAGGGTGCAGCGTGGCCAACGAAATTATGCCATTAGAGTAATCAGATTTCTAGTGACCCGAAGAATTTAGTACTACATGATTTTTCTACGTGTTAAACGAAAAAAGAAAAATCATAGTTTCTTTATGCATTCGAATCAGATAACAAAGACACAAACTTATTTTTATTAATCCAATGATCAATATTTTTATTAAATATTACTATTAAATTTTACTATTAAATATTCTTTTAATCTGTTTATTTCTTGCACAAGAATTCTTTTACTTACGGAATTTAAAATTAATTTTAATGATATGGAATTAAAAGCATGAATCAGTTTCGACTAGGCCAGTTTGTATGTTTAATACAATAATATTTTTGCACATTAAAGACGGAAGATTACTGAATAAATAAGTTATCACTTCCAATATATTGACAAAGTTTTATTTTCAAGGTAGTGAAACTATGATAGTAAATAATCTTTTTTAATTAATATGTTTTGCGTCGCATCTGTCATTTGCAATACTTGTTTTAACCGTAAGCAAAAAATTTCTGTATTTTAATTTAAAATTATGCTTTGAAAATATCCCTGTACCTGAAAAAAGTGATAGCTTGATCTAAAATTTTAATTTATAACGTGTCAGTAAACTTTGATTTAATTTTAAATGTAATCATGTCGGGCCCAAGCCTTTAAAGGTCCAAACCTTTTACAAGCTCTTCAAATACCTTACTATGTATATTAAACAATTCACACCTATAGAACAATTATATAATACGAGTAAAATAACGTATAATATACGAGTATAATAACGAGTAAAATTATATTCGGTATTGACGTTTCTGCTATCAGCTAGGAACTAGAAATATTCGCGAAAAGGTTATAACAACATTTAATATATGTATAAAAAAGATGTAAGTACTTTCACGTGATAGCTAAGGGATATCTATCATAAAAAACGTAATTTTATATGATCTAACCCCAACCTGAAGTGTGAAAATTCCTTACATTTAATAACTTTTAACATTAACATAATTTTAAAAAAACATTGAATATAATCTGTATTTTTTATATAAAAGATTCAAATAATATTAAAAGTTGATTTGAAAATTAAAATTTCATACGTTTAATCTAAAAATTACAAAATTTCTTCAAAAATACTTATACATTCGAATTCTGTTTTAATATACATATGCTATATTTGAAGTTTAAGAAATAAGATTACACAACTTCATCATTATTTAATTAAGTACTTTCAACAAATATCTTCAAAATCCCCACTTTCGACTACCGTAATCAACACAACAATATATCTTAAACTACTTCATCAAAAAATGAAACAACCCTAATACCACTTTTAACAAACTCCTTAAAATAAAACCTACCAATACTAAAAATTCTGCTCACCAAACACACCGAGACGAATTTGAGCAGACGTTTGAAATCGCGATTCGCTTCCGTGCGAGACACCATCGCAGACGTGGTCGGTGTCTCCCTAATGCGGTAACAATTAGTCGAGATTGAAGGGTGCGAGGGTGGAAGGTGATCGAAGTGGTCGCGACCGCGCCGGTAGTTACGACACCCCTTTTTTCCTCCAAGCTTCTCGGCCAACGTCCCCTTTGCTGGTCGTCATTTCGCGCGCTACCCCACTCCCATTTCTCGATGATCCCATAATACGGGGGCGCAGGTGGCGCCTTGCCATCCGCCAGCATTGATATGCTAATGAAATTTGACGCCCCTGCTTTCGTCCCGCGTTATACACACACGTATTCATCGCGAGACTCGCGTATCGCGCGCTGGTCACCATACGGCCGCATAATAATTTTTCTCTTCTCTTTTAACCCCTGGCAGTTGCGATGGCATTTCGCGAGCTACCATCGAGATTCGATTATCTTGATGGTGTGTGCTGTTGCGTACTGAACAGAGCTAGAAAGAAGGCAAGCGAAAGAAATGTGAATTCGATTGATAGGTTCATCTTAATCACACATGTATTTTTGGGTATAGAATATATATATTTGTAGATGATGGTTGGTTGAGTTGTTATTTAAATGACGAGATAACTCGATGTTGAAACCGTCAATTATATTTTAAAATAATAAATAAAAAGAAATTATGTTCGCTAAGACGCTCATACTAACGGATTCGCTAAAGACAGTATACAAATCGCTAATAAGATCGCTCAAGACTGACTGATCAAAAACTAGTCGCCTAGCGATCGCGTTCGTTTATTTATACTAGTCGGGGAAGTACCGAATAATTTAAATTCGTCTCTGTTTGACGGTTGCACGTAGCAGCGACATTGTTTTTCCCAGAGTTTATTATTACATTATGTGCATCCTAACGATATTGATACTCCGAGGCAAAACAACATAATTCGAATTGTTCTCTAACTCATGCGCCGCTACATATCTATATGACAACTATAGTATTCGAGAGATATTGCTTTATATATTTGTTTATAATAGCGTCATTGAATTATTTTTTATTTATTTTATAATTTTTTTATTTATTTTATGCCAATTATGCTATTTATTTTATTTCTATGCTAAGTAATACTAACAAGTTTAGTAATAAAACAAGTAAAGTTCTCAACAAGTAAAGTACATCAATTTTGTGAATTATAAACCTTATCATTGTCTGACTCAATACAATAGTAACTTATAAAATTTGGCTAATAGCATTAGCTCAAATACAGTGTACAAAAGGGTACAGATAAGTGGGACCTCCTATCTTTACGTCATCCTGCTAGTTTCGTTTTCAGTTGTGCATAGTATGTGGATCGCAACTACTACGAGAATTTGTGGAAATTCCTGATCAACAAAGTTGGATGAATAGTAGAATCGACGTTAGTTGTGTCGACTGCGGAGGATTATGGTGAGCCTTAGAAGTCGTTTGGGGAAGAGTGAAATCTGTGTTCCAGGGGTGGATGGTATTGTGACGGAGGATTTATTGGAGAAAATTAGATTGATAAAGTGGGAGAGTCTTGGGTCTGATTATTCTTGGCGGAGGGTTTAGGATAAAAAGGTTTAGCCAGCTTTAATCAATCCTTTTGATGTCTGTTTAAAATAAAATCTCAAAAATGAAACTATGGTGTGAACTACCGGAGAATAGTAAATTAACAAATTTCGTAATGAAATTATATTGATTACAAAAATTCTTACATTAATAAATAAAAAAGTAGCCTACTTTCAGGCTTCTTATTATCATATTCAAAATAAAATAAAATAACACAATGATAAACAGATAAAATAAAATAGGAAATATACAAATATAGATATGTATCTTCTAAGTCGCGTGGCATTGTAGAGGGATTAAAAGTGAATCGATAAATAAAATAGAATTCCCATTGATTCACATATCGTAATTCGTGTCTCTCTGTACGCGTACGCCGGGATTAGGGTGTTAACGAGATCGAAAAGCCGACACGCTTAGGATGTTACGTGAGTCGCATTAATAAGATCGTTTCGAGTTCATCCCTCGTAACCGTAACGACGAAACGATACGATTGAATTCTTCCTGATGTAGCCGGATCACGCGTGTCAACGAACGATTCAGACGTGCTCCATGGCTTTGATCATTGATTACGATTACAGATATGTATTTGTTTAATTTGATACTATAAGAGGTCATCATGGTACAGTCAATTCGCACTTTAAATTCATCCTTACATTTCTTGTCACGTGTGCAGTAAATAATGATTTCCTTCTTACGATAATTTTTACGTAATATAGCATATATGAAACCAACATGTATTTTAAATAAATTTTTATTATATTATAAAAATGACACCTTAGAAACTAATTTTAACAACTTAATCTTAAATTAGGGAACTCGACTATTACAGACATGAACTTCCCAACCTACAGACTAGTCTGTACATACCTTTCAATCTTCTTCAAACCTATACTATAGTTCCCTTCACTTTCTAATTCCAAACACTTTATTATTAACTCTAATTAGACCTAATTTGTTCTTTTAAAATTGAAAATATATTTCGAATATATTACGAATTTTGAAACAAATAGTGAGTTAACCAAGTAAAGAAATTAAAAAGGTAACAAGTTAATGCCCAAATAGAATACAATGATCGAGATGAAAGGAATCCGCTTAAATAATCGAATTAATCATTCAAAGAATATTCCCAAAAATCGATCTCTAATTCGAACAATTCTTCCTCCTCATACAAGAACCATTCGACCGATTTAATTTTCTTTTTTTTTTAAAGAATAAGTGCAAGCACCAAGCGCAATCTGTCGTTGAATGAGCTCGACCTGAAAACGATTTTAAATAACTCTGCGGACTAGAGTACGGTTAAATTATTTTGTACTGTATTAGGAACGGGACCCTAACCTGATATCGACCTGTTGTCGATTCGCATGGTAATTCAAACGGATCCTATCTGACCCCGCGGCATTAACGAGACCGGAACGAGTTTTCGATCGGGTACGATACAGCCGACAAATACGATTCCGGGGAGATCTCGCGCCTCGTCGGGGCTGCCAGCGTGACTAATAAACTCGAGTGGAGAGGCGAAATCACATTTCGTTGATCACGCAGATGTTCGCCGGCCTCCGATCTCTTTGTATTTCCATCTTTCAATTAATATCGTTAACGTGTCACGCGGTGACAGTAGAATTTAGTTTCCTTCGAACCGGAAGCACGTTTAGACGTTCCTTCTTCGCAATCAATTTGGATGTTCGTAGTACAACCTGATTTTATAGTCGTAACAGGTGAATGTTATTAAAATAAACTCCGTTTTGTTGAAATTATGAATGTATTTATCCATTACGCTTACATTTATCACGGAACAGGTGAAAGAATACGAGTAATAGGAAATTGTTAAGCAATTGTTATTGAGAAATATTGTGCAAAATTTTATTTTAATGGAAATTCTTGTCTAATGAACCGTTTATTAAGTTTAAACTTCAAGTAGATAAAAGATACGAAAGTAATTGTTACCTCATAATCTTTATAGAATTTGGATTCTATGGACATTTTCAGTTTAATAAAGCGTTTCATTCATTCGAAGATAAAATGTTATAAAATGTTATAGTTAAAAACATATCAACATAATACTTCTAATATAAATGATAACTAATTGTAGGATTTTTGGTAACACATTTTTTTATCTTTTATTCTATGGCACTTAGTACGGTTTCACGACCAAAATTGATTCAGTATTTAAGACAAAAAAAACAGAAAGGAGAGAGTAGTTAAAGGATACATTAAGCAAAGTAGCACTTTGTATTCTCCCCATGACAAAATCATCTCGCCTTCCGCTTTCGTCTACCTTCTTCTAAATATTTATGCCGTGGTTTTTAAGAACTCATTTCTCGATGTAAATACTGTTTGCCTCGCGATCCAGTCGGTAAGCCTTAAGGGATAGAAAAAAGAAACCATGAGCCTCATGGGAACAGAAACCACAACCTCAATCGTGTGAAGATTCTACCAGAAAGATTGGCAAATAATATTAAATAATAGCAAATTGCACATTACTATTTTTCTAGCGATAAATTATCATAATTTCTTTTTGAAGGAACCTAATATATCAAATAAAAATATTTCAAAAATTTCAATTATTTCTTATATTCGCCTTTTTATTAACATTACTAGTAATATTATAATTTTATATTCTTTTTCTTATTAATATTACTAGACTACAGATTCGATAATCGTGGAAAGTATTGATAATCGCTTTATCTTCGGCCATTTAATCAGCTACAAATCTTCAGAATACCCACAAACTGTCCCGTAAATCGTTCCTGGCGAACCATAAGACCTGCGCAGGAGTCGTGGGCATACAATTATTTTATGTACATTCCTGATCCCCTCCTCGTGAGAATCAATCAAGGGTGCAACCGGTGATATAAGCACACGAAGGAGATTTCCGGGATTAGACGAACGTAACTGCCATCTGATCGAATAGGATGAATCAAAATCGATCGTGGATCATAAGCCCAGACCATAAATCTGAAGTTGCTCCACTAAAATCCTACAACTCAGAGCTCTCATTTCGTTCTTTTACTATTGTTTTTATTGGTAGCTTAATAAACAAATAAAAAATTTTGAACATTATTATTTTAAGGATTGAAGGCTACGTCGATGCATCTGTTTAATAAAGTTTCAACAATTGTGTAAAGTCTGGTCACCTGGCAAAAGAAATCTGATTGTGAATATTGACTTTGAAAGCAACAATTGCCTGTCAAATATTAAGACAAATATTATAAGTATCGAGTTCAGCACTAATTTAACTTAAGTTGGCTAGTCACGCTGTATACTAATTTTTTTACTAAAAATACATTTGTAATAAATATCTTGTAATTTCTATTCAAATTTTACCAATGCTCATGATAGTCGAGTTTCGTTACAGCGTTAATGAAATTTTCAAAAGATTTTTCTAACAAGTGTTCAAACATGACTTACTGTATTATTATATCAAAAATTAAATATTCCTTCGAACAACTGTGCTCGGACGACAGAAAAAGTTAACTGAAAAACCATTTGTTTCCAGACTCTGGCGAGAGCAGCGTAATCTCTCCAGGATTACCAGAGCGTTACAGTCCTTTGGGGGCGACAGGATCGACCTCGAGTCACGATCCTTACGCCTCGAGGTCTGTTCAAGAATGTCCGGTCCCCCTTTGCAGAGGAATACCCACGGATTTCCCACTTGCGAGATCGCCATACTTAACTGCTTTGGGAAACGGACATCCTCATTTGTTGGGACAAGTTCAGCAGCAGCAGCAACAACAACAGCAACAGCAGCAGCAGCAGCAACAACAACAACTGCAACCGCAACATGGCAGCAAACCACCACGCAGCCTTGGCTTGATATGCGTGGTCTGCGGAGATACTAGCTCTGGGAAACATTACGGAATTCTCGCTTGCAACGGATGCAGTGGTTTCTTCAAAAGAAGCGTGAGGCGGAAGCTGATATATAGGTGAGTTCAATGAAGAACTTTAGAAATGTGTATTTGATTTTGTGTCTTTCGAGTAAGCATGAATGAGATCATTATATAATTACGGAATTATATCATCGGAGATTTCATCACTGGAGCTTCAATAGACAAGAATAAATTCTTTTCCTTCATAATCTCATTCGTATTTACTAGAAATATATGCTGCTTATATATTACAGTTTAAAAAAGTGTTGTGTTCAACAATAAGTTACTCTTTCAAGCGCACAGCTTTCCTACATTTATAATATTCCCGATTCAATGTGAAACCAATATTTTTATACTATAAATTACTGAATTCTACCGAATCAACAGATGAAGCTAAACACTCCAATATTAAATTGGAAATTTTAATGACTATATGAATTGCTTCAAGTAACATTCAAATATTAGGAAACAAAACCAGCAAATAAATCTTTTCATCTCACATAACACCTACTATATAATACTAATTCCGAAAGTCATCGATGCAACCAACTCGAAACTTTTTCCGAGAAGCTCCCTATAAGATTGCAAAATCTCTGGTCTTCTATCAGATAGAAATTAGTCAGCGGATCCTCTTACGGCGTTTAATGTCAAACTGTTCAGCCCGTGGCGCCATGTGGTCCGAGTCGAGTGGGCTCATCGTAATACCGGGCAACAATGCGGAACGGCATAATGTTGAACCCTGGAGGACCTATCCACCTAACCCGCCGCCCTGTGTATACGACGTACTATTACCATCCCCTGGGAACGGCCATCCATCTCCATCGGATCCCTCTCAGCTCGGAATCGCTGTCTGATACGCTCGATCCGTTTTACACGGGGCCACGTACGAGCCCACGGAATGTCGGCTCGTGTGTGCGTGCATCCCTTTGACTACGTATACGTGACTATCGATAACAGGCGTCCATAGGTGTGCGCGTTAAGCCTGTCGAAGAGATACACGACGCAAGGATGCTCGATATACAAACTATTAACCCCGTCGATGCTCGGAAAATAAATGTTACAGCTACGTCGCTTTGAGCACGTGACTAGACTGCGAATAATCTTCAACAATGACTACGGAGTATTCTTGGGTATATCCCGAGATTTTTGAGTCGTTTCTTTCTTGATAGGCAGATGTTTGAAAATTTGAAGGAAGGTTTCATATGGTTTGAGGATGTATTGTGATCATTTTGTGGGAGATACTAGATGTTTCAATGTTTATTCATAATTTCAGAGAGATGGGGGATTTGTGAAAAACTCAGAGAGATTGAGAGGTTTGAAGGGAGGTTTTGCACGATTTTAGAAATAATTTCACGATAATTTTATTTATGGAACTAATAATTAATTTATTAAATAAAAGGATTGCAGCTACTTCAGTTATATTTACTCTTGATTATGTCTTAATCTTTTTAATCTTCCAATTATTCCTGATACCTAGTTGGAACATTTTTATTGTCAGTCAACTACGTATCCTCCATCATCATAGTATTTAAAAGGTGAAAGAAATCTCTATTTAGAGTATATTTTTTATTGTATTCATAAAAATATGAATTTTCATAAATATCAATTATGAATTGCATTTAATATGCAACTGAAATGAAATGGAAACTACGTAAACTTATGAATCAACTTAATGTATAGTTTTGTCACAATGTAAAATCGGATCGAAAATCGACTATTTTCGCCACGTGTCTTTTCTATTCGAGAGCGTATCCCATTGCACCAACTTTTTATTCTTCATTATCAATTCCTGTCGAATGGTCGTAACGCGGTAAAGATTGAAGAGCCTCCGCACAGATAACCAATTACTAGTAGAGGGGAACAGAACCACGACAGATGCGTGTCGATGCGATGCACCGTAGCGCGGCGGCGTACCAACCATAATCGTCAGATTAAAGTCCAACTTCACGGATCGGTTAGATACAATTAAATAGATCGTGCATGATGCAGATTGCGTGGAAAGTTCGCACCAACTCCCATCGGGATACACTCGAATTTTGCGAGCAATAGATGTTCCATGCTGTGACCGATAAACGAGTGTTTTTCTTGTCGACGACATTACTGGCAGATTTCTATTGATATGGATATTAAAATATATGTATCAGTCCTTCATACAATGGCTATGAAAGGAATTGGCACACCATTGTATTTACTATAGCATTAAAATATTAATTTGAACCAAACGTATTAAATTTTGTATCATTTACTAGCATTTGCATATCGCTACAAAAATTACATATTATGAAAATGAAGTACATAGAACCTGATAAATCATTAGAAAATAAGGGTATGTGCTAATATTGTATTTATTGTATATTACGTTCTTCGTCCTTAACTTAATCTCTTTCGGTAGTTAATATTTATGAGCCGAAACGTACATCAATTTCTAACATAATATCAAAGCTTCAAATTTCCTTCATTCTCAAAAATGACAACTCAACCATATTGCCCACATTTCTTGCTTCCACTATTGTATAGCGATGATCATCAGTGAAACCATTCTTCATCGGATTTCTAAATGTTAGGGGGAAAGGTCAAGTCATTGAACGATCCGTAGTCGCGATCTCCGGGCGTGATAACAGGCAGCACATGTTTCCGGTAACTCGATGAGCCAAACAATGCCGGTTAAGAAAAGAATAGAAAGATGCGTAAATAAATGTATGATGTGGTTCTGAAGCATGAATGCCGAGGAGGGCCGAGGGTGATGTATCCCCCGTTGTTGCACGGGCCAGAGGCGGCACAGCGAAGGCTCGCTGGGGTGTGAACGCAAATCAATTTGCGAGAGGAACCCCGCTGGCACGGCAACACGCAGCCACCCTTCGGTGCCCTTCGTGTTCCACCGCCTCGGGACAAGATAGTTCCAGGACGGTTGCCGCGTCCTTTCGTCGCGCCGCTGGATCAAGCCGCCTCCTTGTGAGTGACGTTAGTTAAAATCGCGCTAACAGAGCCCCGGGAATCGATCGACCGCCCTGATCGAGCCCCGGGCAACTACCATCGAATTACTACCGTGGACATCTTTTTTCTGATTCGTCTGTCCATGGGAACTGGGAATTGTTTACAGGAAGGCATGCCTTTCGTTTGAACAGTTGTGATTGGTAAAAATGGATATGATTGATAAAGAAGAAGTTATCCTTTAATACAAGGAAAGAACGAAAAAATCATCTCTCTCAGTTGTTATCTAACAACCGATTATCTTTGCACATGCACATTCTACACATTTATCGCTAGTATTCTATATCTTTCCCTTGATACAACTATTCCCAAGATTTGGACAAGTCTATCAAAAACGTTAGATGACTATGCATCCTTTGTTTACACGATTACTTTTTGATAGTCTCAGATACTTTCTCAAAATACTATTCTTTCATAGATATAACATTTTAGATCAAAAATATTGTTCGTTCGTTTGACTAAATCGTATAATATTTGAATATATTTGAATGAATTGCGGTGGAATTACGATTGGATGGAAAAAGGAACGATATTAAATAGGTGTATATCACTTGAATATCTAAGTTAAAATTTGAATTATTAAATATTAATGTTTTTTTACCTCCAGCGCTCCAATTAAATAGTGAACATTATTTCTTGAAAGAAGTTTGATGTTTTAATATCTACTTCGATACTTTACTTTAGGAAGTTGCTAAAGTTACTAAATCTTTAGAACACTGACAATGAGTAGGTATCTATTAAAACGTTAAATTTGAAAATCTATTAAATGATTCTCAATACATATAAGAAAGAGTGAAAATACGAAATATGAGTAAACGAAATATGTCTCTGTACACGGTAACCATCCACAAAAACTGCAACGAATCACATTAATTTCTACGTCGAACGATTCGCGTTATGCAGAAGAAAAAGAAAAGTAGAAGTGATTGTAACCCCTAAGAAACGAAGCACCACGAGGCTACCGCTGGATTTGATGAAATTAAGAGGGATAAGAAGAAAGTACGTGACCCCGAGCGGTAGCCTCTTTACGTTAGTCAGCTCAACAGGATAACCGGGTTAGCTGAACAATGAAAGTAATCGAATTTAACGCCATCTCCTGAGTACACAGCCAGGATTTCCGGCAAGTGCGCTCGAAATTTGTCGTCTTTTCGAAAGGGACAACAGCCATCAAGTTACGATAGTCGTCGATGAAACGTCGTCGTCAAGGATCGATCGATTTCGACAACCGAGAGAGCTTTTCCACCAATAATGGCAAACGATGTTTTCACCTCATAATTCTTCTTCATTTTCAATCTACTGATACTCGATATGAAAATAAATCGTACATAATTAAATTGCTATATAGATGAGTGTAATAATGGAAATTGGAGGTATATGTAAAATGAAAATTTTTTTTTAGAGAGAAATCCTTCCGATGAGAAATTAAGAAAAAAACAAATTAAGAATAAGAATGAAAATTTTAAAACAAAATTTTCACTTAAGCTATCTTCGAATTTCGTTTAATGATTATAATATTAATAAAATTGATAAGTTAATTGTTGGAGAAGTATTCGGGAGTACACAAAATTTATGGAGGTTCTTTGTTTTTAGAACCTTCTTAAATGTATCGCAAAATTTTATGTTCAGATGTCAAGCCGGTACTGGAAGATGTGTTGTGGACAAAGCTCACCGAAATCAATGTCAGGCATGCCGTTTGAAGAAATGTATGCAGATGGGAATGAATAAAGACGGTGAGTAACTGAATTAAATATTAGGGGAGATATTCGATAAGCACGCGATTCATTTTATCGTGAAAATTACCTCATATCTTTTATGTACTTCGTTTTAGTCCTTATTCCTCATTATAGATTAGTATAAGAAACAATATTCGGCGAATTAAACGAATAATCTATATTTTACACATTAATGAAATGATGTAAAATTTTAAAGAATATTGTAAAAGTTGACACATTTGGGATAACTTCGTGCGAGGAATAATTCGCTTCCTGAGCAATAAACTTCCATTTTCTTCGTCGAACCAATGAAGTTGTTCAAAATGTTCAAATATGATGGAAAGCGTAAACAGTAAACCTTCAGAATTGATTTTTAGATAAAACAAAAAACAATTCTGTGAACAACGAATAAGTTTTCTTCTTTAAACAGCGCTTGAACTTAACTCGTTCTAAATAGAAACTCATTTTTTTTTTGTTACGTTTTAAAGAACATGTCTCTTCCACTTCATGGATGCTGTATGGTGAGCATAAAACAATTACTTTCCTCTTAATCGACTTATGCGAGTTAATTAAAGTGAATTGAAAAAAAGTGCCGGTGTCTTTTTAAGGAAACTTCGAAAAAATGAAAAATTAATTTTCTTTGGGATAAAAGCATCCATGTGTAAATTAGAAATCAAATATCTAAAACCGACTGAGTTTAAAATCTCAAATTTCATATCATAATTTATTTAGATCGTCAATAAAACTCTCCAAAATATGTAATCCCTATAAAACATCAAAAACATAAAAAATCCTACCAAAATTCAAGCCAAAAGAAAGATTTTACGAATCATTTACATTTATTTTGCTCAAACATTTATAACATCCAAGATACCATTATTCCAGCGAAACTCCTTTTATAATAAGTAATGTCTGCAAAAGTATGTATATTTCATATACATACACACTTACATTTAACATCCACTAACTCGTTTGTGTAATTAAATAAAGAAATATATGTATCTAAGCTAATGAGAAAAATTCCAAAAGACTTTTCTTGAATTGTTAAGAAAATTCCACGCAAATGATTTAATTTTTAAAATCAACAAACATGTACCCAGCATATCTTTCTTCTGTGGTCTTCATATCTTTCAACATCTAAAACTCAACTCTAACGTTTACCAAAAGACGTTTTACCAAAAGATACTTCACATCAACTTTGTCGACACAAATCGCGATTTTCGGAGCAAAAGAAAAATATCTCTCTCTCTTTTTAGAGGGTTGCCAATGCATCTCACCGGCTATCGATATATTAGATTATCTATTTCCGCAGGTAAACCCGTATTGTGGAAATCAATCAACGGCACGTTTTCTCTTTTCTCTTCGTTGAAGAGCGGAATTCGAGCGAGGGTCCTTTATGTTCGCGACATAAATAACTGGATAAAGGCGGAGCGATTGGCACGGGGTGGTTTGGTCCGCTTTGGCGGCACCGTTCGATTCAACTCTTAATGCCTTCTCAGCCAGCGAACAGGCGCACCTGCCACGGCAAAAGAGCATTTCCCCCTTTTTCCAACGTTGTTCCACCGTCTTCCTTTTCTTTTTTCTTCCGTCGCGTCGTCCCCGCGGAAACTCGTCCCGCGGCGCGCGCCAACTTTCTTATTGCCGAACTTGACGTCGTAAGAAGAAATACTTCCAATTGGATTCTGGTTCCCTTGGCGACCGGTACGATGACGTTTCTATGGAACGTCAGTCGTTTCCCCGGGAAATTAGATTGCCCAGCGTCGGGAGTTACGCTTCGCGATGAAGACCAAGATATTTCGTAAACTTTCGCGATTTCATCTTCCGATATATCAGTTTGTGTGGTGCTATTTTTCTGCAAGCAATTGATGTACATAGATCATTGTTTGATTAATATCGTTTTGTAGGTGCCTCTGCTTGCATCGTGAATAATTGTTTGCCATGATGTTGCTATTCTATTATAAATTGGTATACAGGAAGGAGATTATTTTTACACTTTTGGTATTAATTTTGTTGATGGTTATCAACGTGGGAGTGGGCGGGGGTGAAGTAGGAACGAGACAGAACGATGTGGAGAAAGGATGGCGAAGAGTGTTTCGTCCAGAACTAGAGAATGATGCTAGAAATACTAGAGAACTAATCAGTAAGTGATAGAAATTGTTGAAATGCGGAAAGGGGGTTGTTTTCATGGTTTTGATACTAATTTTGTTGATAGTTACGTTTTTAGAGGCACAACAATTTTCTAACTGATCTTTAAGGGATAGAGACAAAAATTTCAGTATTTTCCCTAATTTCATGTGACTTTAAATGGTTTCATTTTTTATACCTTTTTTTTCCACAGATAAATAAAACCACGTATTTCAATACTTCTGGCAAATTTTACTTTCAACGATATGTTATTAAAATTTGTTTTTTTAGTCGCCGAATGACATAAACGTCGGAACATCAACAAAAATGGATTTATATCTTCCTTGGAGAAAAAGCTAATAACGTTCGCAAAGCTTCTCTTGATGATGTTATATTTTATAATATCATAATATTAATATAAAAATACCAAAAATTATTCAATCAACTAAATACATCGAATCACTCAATATATTCAATCAATATATCTAAAATCGTTACCTGTATTGATATAATCATTCAATAAAAATATCACACTTTAAACACATTTTCCATTTCCATCAGGCGGAATAATCAAAAGTCCAGGTAACCGATCTACCATCCCGTCCATTTATCGATGGCACGTCGTTTCTCCAGGCGTAATTCCTCGTAATTACAATCGTTAATTCTTCTCGTTCGATAAGCAGAGAAACTTCTCTATCCGGTGTGAACCCTTCCCATGGTGCTGGCGTCTACGACATGTAGTTTCACACCAGGGAGATAAACGCCCTTTTACAGATCGTTTCACTCTCATTTGCGTGAAGCTCACCGTGGGAGGTCTGCCTCCCTTTTTCACTTTGCTTCTTCCGCATTTTCTGTCCCTTCCTTTCTCGCCCACCGTTATGACACAATTTGCTGTGCTCTCTTTCTCTGTACGCCTCCGCTAACGGATTCCTTGTCATCGTGCGATACACGCGCGTCCCTTGAGCAGACGCGAGGAAAGGGCGCGCGCCAGACAACGAGGAGCGCGAGGATTTTTGCGTACAAGGATCGGTCGCACGTTGCATACGTTTATTTCCCCCAATTAACCCTTCGGGGCTCGGCGACGGCCACGCGACCGTCGCTAACGACCGCGGTGTTTACGACGCCCGACATCGTTTTCGCCCGTCGCGGCCAACCGCACTATTCTCTGCATGCGGCATGTCTTCGCCGCGTGTTTCATGTTTTGCCGCTCTGCATACGCGATTTTCATCGGAGGCCAACCGCAACACGCGGTAGCGATCATTCTAACGGTTGATTTGTGTGTGGTAGATCGAGCAATGATAATTGATATCCCTTCGTTTGAAGATAGATGAAAATATAATTTCAATATAAAATTTTAAGTGAAACAGCTCTTCTATAAAAAGACAGGAAAAACAGAAACGTGTGTAGAAGTGGTCTATCTTTCACCTACGGTGTTCATATGCGTATACATTAATTATAAAACCACCCTGTATTAACATTTTATAAAACTTATCAACAACATAATGTCACAGCGATATCCGAAATCTATTTCCAAGTTAGAAGTTCTCGAGTGAAGTCTCCCTCTAGTGTCCTTAAGTATCCACAACACCTCGAATCGCCGGTTGATGCATTAAAAAAAGAAAATCAAAGGCACGTGGAAAAAGAAGAAAAGAGAAGAAGACAGAGGAAAAAAGGAAAAGGAAGGGGGGTGTGTGAAAATAAGCGGACTGAAGAGTTAAAAAGACAAAAGGGAAAGCACGACGCGTTACACACGCGGACAAGAAAAATTTCCCGGGGACGCGACCGGCGGAAGGGCGTTTATCTTTTCCACCGGCAGGGTAAACGAGAGAAAAAGTGAGAGAGCGAGGGCGAAGCAAGGGAAGAAAGCTCCGGGAACAGAAAAAAACGAGAGAGACAGAGGGCCGGATGCAAAAGGCTTGACGAAGTAGGAGGATCCTATTAAGCCGCTCAGCAGGCAGCACGACGCGTAGGTAAAGTGAGCCGCGGCACGCTTTTTATTATTACGAAATTACTGTGCACCCGTGCCACGCTAAAAAGGGGGAAGCTGGAAAAAAAAATTCTGCTGGCCATTACACACCACTGAGTGCCCTAATCGCAACGCCATTAGCATGTGCCCGACGTCACGAGTCTTCCCTCTTGGGAATGGAAATGGATGGAATCGTCGCGTCTTTGTGGTACAGCCTTTGCGGAAAGTCGAAGATGTTGACCATCAGTATTTCCTGCTTTGAGACACGCTTTTCGAATGAAGATGGAAATTTTCAGGTGTTTTTTACCGACAGGGGAAATGTACGCTAACATTTATAAGCGTTGGAACACTTATACAGTGGCTCGCGAAAGTATTTGGACATTTTTAGGTACTTTTAATGAATATATTACGTGTTTTATACGAACATTTCGAAACTTCATTAGTACTGTACGAGGCTGGACTATGTACATATCATGATTATATTGGTAGAGTTTGGAAGAAATTTGTGCATGTGGTAAATGATACTGGTTAAACTTCTTTATATTTTCTATCTAATTCGTTTCAAATTTCTTTGATCAGATTTAATTTACCATTTCCCTTTAATTTTTGCAAATATGTAGTTTTTGCGAAGCTTTGCTGATTTTTTAGGATTAACAACGATTGCTAATTTTTCAATTATCATTATTACATCATCGAACATGGTGCACTGGTAAATGTCCATTTTATGTTTTGAGTAATTTGGTTCCCCACATTATTCGAAGGCATTTCTGAACGTAACAAAGATAAACTAATAAAAGGAGAAAATAGGTGCAGTATGTTCTTCATTCAATGTTATTAAAATATAAATATTCGTGTTATAACTTATTATGAATAACCTTTTGTTGATTTGCCCTCTATAGAATACCAAAAACAATATTGTTTCTTTCGCAGTTGTGTAAATATTTTATGATGCTCTTATCAAACCACACTGTGTGACAATACGAAGAAAGGAACTTAAACATAAATCGCCACACCTTCTACATCAAAATTTAAATTGAAGTCACTAATATACAATCTTTCGCTTTTCTACTTATGTTAAAATAGAACACTCCAAAATTCCAATTCTCATTTTGCCACTCCATTCCTTTTTTCTATTTATCTTACGATTCAGTTTTATACCAGAACACCCCAATATTTTGTCTATATTTGATATGCCAATATAATCAAAATTTAAATTTTGATATTTAACACACCATTTTTAATTTTCCTGCTTATCCTAAAATTCACTTTTGTAGTGAAACACGCCAAACATCAAAAGAATAATACTTTGTCTTTATTTCACCCCTTAATGTATCCTTATTATCCTTATTGTGCCCCTAATATAATCATTTTCGAAGGTCAGAACGCCAAGTTAAGCATTAAGCAAACAAAGCAAAGCTCTTCTACTTCCCATTTCGATTTCGCGTATTAATTCAATCCTGATGAAAATACACGTCGCTGAAAATACGAGAAGGGAATATTACTCCATTTTCTGGTAGTCTACGGTGCATAAGGTTTCCAGAGGTGGAACCTCGTCTTCCGTTAGCTGGCAGCCGAATGGGAATTATCGAACGGCAATATATACAAACAATAAACGCGGCTGATTCCTACACGTCTGTTAAATTCACGCTTGTCAGTCGCAGGCCACTGGCGTGATATAACGCTGCGTTACGTGAGTTTGACGAGAGGGTGGTGGCCAATCGTTTGTTCCCCGATTAATCTGGCAAGACTCGTCGAACCAGCGAACTCCACTGATATTTCAATAACCAAGAAACTCTACAGGGGAGAGGATATTCCATGTAACGAACACAGTGGAGAGACATTATCGAGAGACATACCATGAACGACGCTCGATTGTCTGGTTTAGTTGATCGTTTTGTTCTCTCAGAACGGAAACCTTGTTCTTGGAATTGCGCTATTGCATAATATTATACACGAACATTACTTAATTTTAGCTCAACTGGAAAACATGCATCGACGATTATACTGATAATACTTATAAAGGAATTATTATGTTAAGAACTAGAATTATCTAAAATTTAGTACCATGGTTCTTATAGGTCAATTACTATATTAAAAACTTCATCTATCTAAAAATTTAGATATATGTTTCGAAGCGTATAAAGAATAAAAAAATATTTGAAGTTGAAGTTTATTTACGGATTTAATAAATAAAGATCGTTTAGATGATTTATTAACTTTTTTTAATAGATTTCAGATATTTCTATAATTATTATTATTATATTGTTTCCCAAATATAGAACGTTTTTCAACGTAAAATATATAATGGCTTCCTCACCCCTTCTCTGATAAAAATACACGCCACTATTTTTATCTTCACGTTCGATACGTCGAAGGAAAACAATAATCTTGATCTGTTATCAATTTGTAAGGTTAAAAACCTCGAACAATATTGTTCGTTTTCTTGAGGATTGACAAGCAATTAATCACGATGTGTACAATTTCGCAAATTGTGCGCAAATTCCGAAAGACATTACGTTCGATGGCGCTGACTGAAGCGCGCGCGAGGCAGTACACGGAGGCGTGTAATTAATTCGTGGCTGCAATTAACGCCTGTTATCGACGTTACATCGAAGGTGTACGCTTCTGTTTCAGCTGTACAGAATGAACGGCAACCCAGAAACACTGCCACCATTAGACCAGAGGCTCTCGTCGAGATGGACCAGGAACGCGCGCTTCGAGAGGCAGCAGTAGCCGTCGGTGTTTTTGGGTAAGCCATTATATTTTATCCTTCGCCCTTTTAATTTGCAAATATTTGCTGATATGTGCAGCTTCACGTGGTTCTCAATAGAACACTGAATGGCTAAAATTATATCTCAAAAATATAATTCGAGTTCATACGGTAGGTAGAGAGCGGATTTTTGTGAATCTGTAGAAAATTTAAAGGAACATTATTCCATAAAATTCACATATGCAAAAATATATAGAATTTTGAAACTACAGTACTTGCTATGATACTTAGTGGATGAAATAAATCTTTGCCTATATCTGAGCTTCCTAGTTCATAAAAATATAAATTAGTATAGATATTAGCAATCTGATAATAGAGTTCTGTGTTTGAATAAATGGACAATCAAGCACTAACTAAAATTTCGTTCTACTAAATGTAGTTCAGACAAATAGAATTCTATAATAAAAGCTGCAATCAAAACTTACACAAACCAAGAATTATCTCTATAATTATCCAAGATCCTCGTTCCACTTCTTCGAACACCAAGATATATATTTTCACATATTGGATCCCGCGTTACGTGTATTTAGGTGACGCAAAGGCACGATGAATCGTCGAATGGATCCATGTGGTCAGTCATGGAGGGGGATTAAAGGTAACAGCGAGGGCTTAACGATCGATAATCGGCGATTCATCGGGAGCAACAACGATAAGAGCAAGAGAGGCGACGACGTTGTTGGCACGTTTGATCTTCTGCTGCACAGCAGCATACTTTTCGCCGTCGTGAGCAAGCGCGCTCGCGACACGCCACGCCGAGCGTGATCTATCATGAAAAATTACCTTTGACTAGTAGCCCGTGGCTGACCGTTTTTCAGGTAACCGAGTACTCAGGTTGGAACTAATGGAAAATCCATAGAGCGCCAAGGGGTGAACGTTAAAAGCGACAGCGAGCGTGCCGACGATGCTCGGCGTCGATAGCCGCAGCTTTCTCGAAATTATCGCCTTCTTTCCTCACCGTGTATCTTTTGATATGATTGCTCCAGTTTATTCTTCTATCATTAATGTTCAACTATTAACTGTAACAAATTGTAACTTGAATTGTTTCCTTTTAGCCTCCTGGCTATAAGCTTTTGCACATTTACTGTATTTGCTATAGCATTTAATTAGATCCAGTATATTAGTATATTGGCATAATAAATTTCGTATCATTTAGTACTGTCTTCACATGACTACAAGAATTTGATACTGTGAAAGTGAAATGTAGAAACTGATAAGAAAGACGAAAAATTTATTGAAAGATGTGAATACGTGTAAATACTTATTGCAGGTGTAGTTATTACTTAAATATATACTATATCTCGTGGTTATGCATACGATTATTCCTCTCAAGAATAGGATATTTGAAAATCATTGAAAAGAGATAACTCGGAGATATCTATCGTTCCTTAGATCTTAGAAAACGAGGGAAAAAGTTAGATATATATATCTCAAGATAAAAGATATTAAATTATTCGACATCACATCAAATTCTTTGCAGTAATATTTCTGAATGGATAGGATTAACCTATTAAGCAAGTCATCCTTTAATTAAAAATTAATGACGGAAGGTCAACTTCAGACTAATCGATTTTAATTGTGTTAAATATAAACAGAACATAATTCATTTTTAGCACGATATAATATAAAAACAGGAAATCCATAAATATTGTGTCCAAGAGATTGAAAAGCGACGAGTTAACTCATCTTTTCCCATTAACAGGTTAAAGAATTCCGTTCATTCCTACGCAATTATGCACGATGGTATAATTACTCTTTATGATATGTACGAACATGAAATAAAAGAAGAATTTTCTGCATAAAATGTTCGAATATTTTTAAAAAAGCTGAGTTACAGAGGTGGTAATCTGAAGCAGCATTGTACATGAGGTAACAAGCTTAATTTATAGACGGTTAAACGAAGTCAGCTGTACTGACTAATTTTGCAACGATTTATACACAGAGCATTACATTTCTTATATTCTGGAATCATAGAAAGATTGAGGCGATTCGTGATCCTGTAATTTCTCTATAAATAAACGCTTTGAAACAACACTACGATTTGATAATGTCAGTATGATCGTCGAAACAATCGATTACGGATAATTGTCTTTTGTTAAAACCGAAGGCGTACTGAAATCCAGATGAATAAGAAATTTATTTTAGTTTCGTATTTACGTAAATATCAGTCTTGGGTGACATCGTAGGATAGTCGCTAATAAGATATCTCGTGTAGTTTAACAAGACGTTTTATCCTTTCGGCCCTTTCTTATCCATTCGCGGCTATATCCGGATATAGATCGAATACTGAAATTGTGTAAGCTCGATCGAGCTTTATTTGCACGTTAACCTTCGATGATAGTGTTGGAAGCATTGCTGACCCACATTTCGGGGGAAATTTCACGGAAGGTGTAACACAATGAGAACAAGAGAAACGATATCGATATTATGGCCGAACGGAAGAATTAAATTTTTGCGTGAGCTAATTATAACACGCATGTTTCGCGTGAACGATATGATACTCGTTGAAAGGAATAAATGCTGTTTATTCCATTTATAATAAGTTAAGAAAAAATATGTAGCTGTACAAATCGGTACCAACGCGACTTCTCGTTAGTTATCGATTCGCGATACGTTCCAGAGCTCATAGAAGCTCTGTCATCGGAATTGTTTTAATTCGGTGCGATTGTTAATCCGCCTCGAAAAGCGAAGCTTGACACTT